GGAGGACCTGGCGACGTACTTTTGAAAAACTGGCCAGTGAAAATTGTGTAGATAGCAGCTCAACATATTCTGACGTTGTGTCAGAAGATGAGCCCCTCAGGTTGGAAGGCACTAAAAACATGACTGGGGAAGAGCTGCCTCCTCAAAGCAGAGCTGACCTCGATGTAGATAGAGTAAAACTTGTGGGACCTTTATTTTCTGGTTGGCACAACTCAAAATGAGAAGAAACACCTGCAAACATTAATAAGAAAGTGTGCATCTAGGAAAACTGGAAGCTGTCAAAAATGAAATCGAATGGTTGAAGATTGATATCATGGGCATTAATCAGCTGAAATGGACAGTGAGCAGCAGTCATAGAGCAAAGACAGGTCACCCAGAAAGGAAGGGCAGAAATACAGCTTAGATTTCAACAGCAAAGCCAGTATGTAGAAGCTGAGGTCTTCTCTACAGTGGCAGCGATCGTGAGACTGGGCAGGCCTGGGCGGTGCTCTTGCTGTGACACAGAAGGTCCCTGTGAGTCGGAACTGACCTGATGGTACCTAACAACAGAACATAGTGGATTCTCAAAGTGGTGAAGGGAAAAATGCCAGTCTAGAATTCTATACTTTCAAAAGTGAATGCAATGATCCTTTAAGAATTATTGCAAAATGACATTTTCAAACTAAAAGATCAGATACAAGATGCATATCTGGAAGAAGGAAAATAACATGAAGGTGTAAGGTTCATTAAGGAAAGGTGCTTGAGGAATGATTAATTTGGGAAAAGTTCAATAGACTTTTTCCAATGCCTTCTTTGTAGGGTGAACAGCAGAGTCCTAGCACTGTAAGAAACCACATAAAGTAGGATGAGGATTAGAGCTAAAGTATGGAGAGTGTTCGGATTTGGTGTGGGAAGTGGGTAAATATATTAGAGATAAAAAATGCAAGTTAAAATGTACCTGGGAAGTAAAAACAACTTTGAAAAGTAAAATGTCCAAACTCAGGTAGGAAGAAGAAATGGGGAAATGGCAGTGGGGATTTAGAATAGTGCGGTTCTGGAGAATAATCTAAAACTGTGTAGGAACAAATAGTAATACAAATACATTATCGAAATAGATGCAGGTATCAATAATTAATTATTCATGTATCACACATAAAAACCCAGCACGTGGTTTACAGTAAATATACTTTAAACTTTTAAGGATGCAAGAAAATGCAAATCAAAGTGATTAAAAAAAGATCGGAACCAGAAACCAAGCTTAGGGCCATCGAGTCAGCGCCTACTAATCGTGACCCTTTGCTGGGTTTCGGAGACTGTACGTCTTTATGGGAATAGACATCCACCAACCCCCTGCCGTAGAGTCAGTGTCAACTTATAGTGAGCCTATAGAACGCAGCAGAACTGCGGCTGTGAGTTCCGAGACTGTTGAACTGTTTATGGGAGTAAAAAGCCCTGCCTTTTCATGTTGACTAGTTGGTAGTTTTGAACTGCAGACCTTGGCGCTCACAGCCCAATGTGTAACCATTATGCCACTAGGGCTGCATGGGAGCAGACATCCTCCTCTTTCTCCTGTGGAACGATGGGTAGGTTTGAACTGCTGACCTTGCAGTTAGCAGCTCAGTGCTTACCCAACAGCCTCACTTAGACTCCTTGGGAAAAAATAGATTAGGCAAAACTACAAACCAAACGAAAGCTGGTACATCGGTATTACTAGATGATATAATAGCCTTCACATCAAAAAGCATGATTAGAGATAAGCATGTCTGATAAAAGGTTCAAATTACCTAGAAGATTGATTCATTTTATTTTTATATGTATCTGATAAATTAGCTTCAGAACATAGGAAGCAAAATGGATAGGAATTAAAATTCTCTTAACATTCAATATCTAAATTCTGTTATTTTTCTTCACATCAAAAAGCATGATTAGAGATAAGCATGTCTGATAAAAGGTTCAAATTACCTAGAAGATTGATTCATTCTATTTTTATATGTATCTGATAAATTAGCTTCAAAACATAGGAAGCAAAATGGATAGGAATTAAAGTTCTCTTAACATTCAATATCTGAATTCTGTTATTTTTCTCATTAATGGAAATAAAAATACAAATTACCACAATCTGATAAATTATGGATTTAGAAAATGAGATTGAATCGCATTATCCTTTTATGTTTCTAATCCTTGTTTGTTGAAGTTATAGCCAGACTTCCTTGATACACTCACTATTCTGAATAAAATGTTTATATATTCACAACAAAAACAACGTATTTCAAGTAGTGAAATCAATCTATAGCTGAATCCAAGCTGTCAAAACTACTGCATTAAATTGGGATTTACTACAGGGAATCCAGGGCGGATGATCCCTACAGGACCAGTGGTGTGA